CTATCTATCTATCTATCTATCTATCTATCTATCTATCTATCTATCTATCTATTTATCTGTCATCATCTATCTATCTATCTATCATCTATCATCTATCTATCTATCTATCTATCTATCTATCTATCTATCTATCTATCTATCTATTGTCATGCTTAGCGAAGATCCATTAACACCATTGTTTGTTTACATTGTTACATGTCTTTACTTTGCAGGGTAAAGATGAGCTCTATATATCATGGTTGCTTGATATATTTTTGTTAGAGTTGTTACTATGGAATCTGCTTCCTATTCTGGATTTTGATGATCTGAACATCTTGGGGCTCAATATGTTCATATATTTTCTGTAAATTGATAGTGTGATAAGATTCAGTTCTGCATATACAACTGTGTCGTGGGTGGTACAGAATAGCTGACAGTCATTGCCTTGACTCCCTAACTTCAGTGGATGTCACACAGCGTTGATTCTGAACTGATGCTTGGTCACGTGTACTGGATGATGGGCTAAAAGAAAAAGAAACTTGATTTTATCCCCACCTTGAGTAGATTCCACACAGGAAAAGCAAGGAAATGCTTCTGCAATCCCACGGTTCTTGCTAGTTTATATTTTCAATATAGTTGATTGGATCTAACCCATTTAAAGCAAACAAATATTCTTGATACTTATTTTAATTATGATTTCATGGGTTTAATTCAAATTAACACTAGGTACTTGAGTCTATTTCCTTTATGATTTTGACTGATGCTGCATTTTCCTCGTCTTTATTGAAAAAGCTGCAAATGGCAGCTTCACCACTTGGCATACACCCTCTTTGGGAAATTTGTTTGTTTTCCAGTATCAAAAAATACTCTAAATTATTTTGCCTGCTTATGACTAACATTAAATCCACAGGATTGTCAATGACATTTTATAGCTTGAGATATTTGTGGACAAAACAGATAGCTGTTCGCTTCCTGGCCATTGTAAATTTGCTATTTGAACTTAGGTTATAAACAGATCTGCTCACATCAGGTGAATCACACACCATATAGATAAAAACAGATCCAGGTATATTTTGAAGTGTACAGATTAGATCATTCTGGAATGAAAATGATATGTAGAGTGAATTCTCTGTGGAGCCTTGAGATCGCATTTCCATGAAGTTATTCTTCTATTGATGAACTTTTCTTCCACAAAACAGCAGAAAGAATACAGAAGGCAAGAGCATCTGCTACTTTTTGTAGTACTAAACCATAGATTTACTTTTTTTAAGAAACAATCGTGTTGAAATAGAAGTGGCGGGTCTGCATCCCCAACACCCCGGCCGCTTGGCTAGCTTATGCCCGAAATAACAACACACAAACTGTATTCATTGAAACACTGCTTGGCCCATGAACTCTAACCCTTACAGGCTAATTCTCACACCTAGACTAGCCCATTTCTAATGATGTGTGTAAGCACCCCAAGGTGCACTTACCGGGAAGATTCTAGCCTCCATCCATCATGGTGTCTCTGCTCCAGAGAGCAGAGCTGTTCCGTCCCTCTGGAAGCAGAGCAGTGTCTGACCTCACTTCCTCTTCCGCTCAGAATTTTATTCTGTTTATTCCTCCCACCAATGCTTTAACCTATGAGGCCAAGCAGTGTGTTTATTACTTAACCAATGAAATCAACAGATTGATATATGACACTCCCACATCACTTCCCCTTTTTCTGTTTAAAAAAAAAAAAAGAAGGCTTTAACTTAACATCCAAAGCTCTAGAAATGACAGAGACATCTCGCTGCCTGGACAGTCACCCAAAGTTCCTCTGTACCGTTGGGGCATCCATCTTCGGCCTACAGGCCCATAGTTTCCAGCAGACATTTCCACAAAGCAGGAAATTTCAAAGGCAGTCACTATCTGCTTGTCCTGAAGAATGTCTTGCAGACTCTTTCATGAATCAGGAACCCCGAAAGATCATCTCACCTTTAGGCAAGTTCAGCAGTCCTCTCTCTGCGGGTTCTCTGTGTCCAGTTTATGCAATAGTCCAGGCAAGAGCAGTTTCTTGCCCAAATGGCTATCAAACTCCATAAGGATCCTCTTCGATGCCCATCTTCCTCTTGAAGTAGATTGGTGCTGCCAGGAGCAGAGTGTCTCATTGTCATGAAAAGTCCTAAGTTATTAAAACATTTAAAATGCCATATTCTATAATCTTTGAAAAATATGAAGAATGCCTATCTAAAATATATCTATGCACATCTAGAAAATCTTAACTAACATGACTACAAACTTAACTATTATTAATGATTATTCATTAACAACCTATATACATTACAAAATTAACCTTAAATTTAAATCACTAAAGCAAAATCCATATCAATGTAAATTATTCATACCTATATCATCTCCCCCTTTAAATGTAAAAGAACATTTATAAACCATATTTGGGAACATGGGCGCAGTTTTTTCTCTCCAAACTGCTTCCTGCTGAATGGGGGCGTCGTTAATTAGGTCTTTCATGGTATAACCTGTGTGCTAGTTTCATCTCAGTTGGCAGTTGAGCGAAGCAATTTTCTGAAGGTATTCACAGCAACCGTTCAGGAGGGCGTGGTCCATCATACCATATCGGAATAGAAGAAATGAACAGGGTCTCATCCTCTGTGAAAACAAAAAAAGAAACTCCTTTCCAAAGTATCATGTCCTTAGATCCAAATTTCAAAGTCAAGGCATCAAAATCTCTACGATGGATTAGTTCAGCAGCATTTATAAACAAATATCTTTTGGCAGCTGTTGCTCCTTCCTCAGCATTCAAACAATTCAAAGAGAGCATAATAGTATACAGTATCAAGATTCTCTGTGTATTTTCCATCTTTGTACGCTTTATTTTAACCTCTATTTCGTTTATTTTTACTTTTATATTCTCTGTATCTCTTTGACCTGGAATAACTCTGTAGACCAGGCTCTCCTTGAACTCTCAGAGATCCGCCTGTCTCTGCCTCCCAGGCATTGGGATTAAAGGTGTTTGCTACTACACCTTGAACTCACAGAGATCTGTTTGTCTCTGCCTTCTAGGCACTGGGATTAAAGGCGTGTGCTACCACACCTTGAAGTCACAGAGGTCAATCTCCCTCTGCCTCCCAAGCGTTGGGATTAAAGGCGTGTACTACCACACACAACTTCTCTTTTTCTTTTTTTTTTTTAAGAACTTTTAACTTTTAGCTTGCATATATTTTTAACACACTGTAAATCATTTAAACATTTTCTTTGTCTTTGAATCTCTTTACTGTATATCTCTCTTTTTCTGACCACACGAGCCTTTAAATTACTGAGCAATATGAGTAGGATTAAAGCCGTGGCTTTGCCAGGTAGATCCAGTCCATTCCTTAGCTTTCCAGCCTCATGGCGGAGATACAGGCTGTAGCCATGTTTATAGCCACAATTCTATGGCGTTTCAAGGTCCCTGCCAGCCAGCGAGCTACAACAGACAACAGTCAAGTCCTCTCTCGGTAGTTGGCCCTCCTGCCTCAGTCAGAGTTTGCCCTGGCAGGACGGCCCAGAAAGCCGGCATTTTTAAACAGCACAACTTTTTTCCTGCTACGGCTGAAAACCGAAAAGCATGCGTTCAGCTTTTCACCAACACCGTTTAAGTGTTTCGTGGCAGGACCTCTTAATGAGCTGCAGGGTTTTGCAGCTGAAGCTGAGTCAGGAAGCCTCTCTTAGATGAGAGCGCTTGCTTGCCTCTAGCAAGCGGAGCAGACCCAAGAAATTTCTGCTACCAAGAAAACATGCTTCACTCCATTCTTTCCCAAGCTTTCTCAGGCTTTTTGTGGATTCAGTTGTCCACACGTCTGGGCGCCATTTGTTGAAATAGAAGCGGCGGGGCTGCGTCCCCAACACCCCGGCCGCTTGGCTAGCTTATGCCCGAAATAACAACACACAAACTGTATTCATTGAAACACTGCTTGGCCCATGAACTCTAACCCTTACAGGCTAATTCTCGCACCTGGACTAGCCCATTTCTAATGATGTGTGTAAGCACCCCAAGGTGCACTTACTGGGAAGATTCTAGCCTCCGTCTATCATGGTGTCTCTGCTCCAGAGAGCAGAGCTGTTCGGTCCCTCTGGAAGCAGAGCAGAGTCTGACCTCACTTCCTCTTCCGCCCAGAATTTTATTCTATTTATTCCCCCCACCAATGCTTTAACCTATGAGGCCAAGCAGTGTGTTTATTACTTAACCAATGAAATCAACAGATTGATATATGGCACTCCCACATCACAATCGAACCTGGTTGTTGATCTTAAAGTTTTAAACATGCTGCAGTTATTGTATAATTAAATACCACACTGGCCACTTGTTGAAGTAATACCACACCATAACAAAAGTTACTAACAATTAGAAAAATAGTCCTATATTTAGGTAATAAGATAAATCCATACCAAAGAAATAGCTGCCACCATCTGGTTAATAGATAAATGATTTAATATCTATGAGATCAATTCCAACAATAAAAATATAACAGAAGGCTGAAAAAGAAGAAAAAAAGCCCTCGCTCTGCTACCAGCGGGAGACAGCAAAGGCTAAGATGTCTCTTAGCCATCACTGGCTGTGATATTCAGCTGCTTAGGGAGTCTCTGTGAACATGTATTAAACAAACTCCATCAGGATTACTAGAACAAAATGGCAGACTATCACTTACAGCTAAAACCATTTTACCTTCTATAAAGTGGGATATGCTTGGGAATTTTTTTATTTTAATTAATTTGGAGATACTGAAGATCTTGCATGTCAGCATATTACAAGAAACACATCTCAGAGTTACAAAGAATGTTATCCAAATTTCCTTTGACAGTATGTTTTTGCTTTTTTTTGTTTAGCCTGGCACAAACATAAGCAGAAATTGATAAAAAAAATAATCATAGCTTCGGTCAGAATCAGCCTCCCTATCACTAAACAAACACATTAAGCTCAAGGGCGAGAATCTGGCCATTTGGCTCTGAGATCCTCTAGTTTCTTCATCGGTCTTCCTTACCCATTGTCTTCCCAGGTTTATCAACACTGCAAGCTGTGCTGGACTCTGCTGCGGAGAAGAAGTGGCAGGTGACTGCTATCAATGTGGGGAACATTAATAACGACAAGAAAGATGAAACCTACCGATCGCTCTTTCAAGATTTGGAGTTAAAAAAAGAACGGCGTGTAATCCTTGACTGTGAAAGGGATAAAGTGAATGACATTGTGGACCAGGTTTGTTCATCTCTGTTTTCTGCCAAATATAGACCATGCCTGCAACATCAGCACTGGCATGGATCATTCTACAAGATGCTTGTACTGCAGTTTTCAGTTTACAGTTCATGGACAATGCAGCAAAGATCATCAATTGAATTATCCCTAGCTTCAGTAAGCAATGGCAGATGGCTGTCAATAATGCTAACAGATTGGCTCTATCATTTAATAGCTGCAATGTATAATACCGAGCTTTCATATTTTACATAAGCTTTGTGCTGAACCTACATGCTTTTCTGAGTTGAAAACTTTAGACTTAATTCTGATTAAATTAGGTCAAAACAAGTATGATGTCCTTAAGGTAATGGTAAGTTGGTTTGGAGTTTATATATGGTTATTTCAATAGCAGGTAGAAAGCATATGCTATTTTATACCTATGTGTCTTAGTCACTATTGCTATGAAGAGACTCTATGGCATGTCAACAATAGAATGCATTTAATTAGGGAACTGCTTACAGTTTCATAAGCTTTGTCCATTACCATCTTGCATGGTAGCATGTATGGCAGGCATGATCCTGGAGAACTGCATCCTTACGTGCAGGCACAGAGAGGGAGGTAGGGTAGGGCATGGGCTTTTGGAACCTCAAAGTCCACCCCCAGTGACACACTTCCTCCAACAAGGCCACACCTCCTAATTCTATTCCTGTCAAATAGTTCCACTCCCTGGTAACTAGATATTCAAATACATGGATCTCTATGGTGGCTATTCTTCTTTCATACCACCACAGCCTACTACAGCATAAGAAAAAGGAGGCATTTGTTGTAAGAAGCATGTTTTGATACTGCATGCATGTCAGAAAATTTGGGTCCACTTAAAATTTTAATCTACAAAATTAAAATATGAAGGAAGGAAATACAATCAGATCACGTGCATGACTTAGGAAGTCAACAGTATTCATTTGGGTGTTAGACAGAATAATTATATCAGACATGTGAATGCTTTTGTCTGCTCTTATCTTACTGACTTCTTTTAGATAAGACCTTTCATGATAAGACAACCATGAAGTGGTAACAAAGTAAGAAACCAAATCCTCAGTGCTTTAAGGCAGAGAAACTGATCAAGTATGCTTCATGATTTGCTTAGTAAGGCATGCTTCACTAGTCCTGGCTAGTGTTTGTATGTATATGTGGGGGAGAGAGGGAGAGAGAGAGAGAGAGAGAGAGAGAGAGAGAGAGAGAGAGAGACTGAAGCTGCTTCTTCCTCGAAAGTATATGAGATTGGAAAGAAAATACACAGCTGTGTATACATTTATGCTCTTTCTAACTATTGAGATAAAAACTGAAATCCACTAATGTAATCAGGACAACAATTCTAGAAACAAGGGTTTAGAAACCTTAATTGATTATATAATATAGGCCTTAAGAAATAAAAATGGAGTTCTTAATAAAGAATTAAATAACTAAATCAATCTAATGTGACCTGTAAGAGACTCATTTGTATGCAAGGCAGGAGAACAATTTCAACTTAAAAATCTTGATTTTGGTCTCAGGCGATGAACTTAGGATTGCTGTTTCTGTAGGCCTCTTGCTGAAATGCACACATCAAATCCCATTTGAACATCATAGTAGGTTTTCATTAAAGCTGAATTTTAATATTCACTGGTCTGGTTTAAAAAAATAAATATTCCTGCTTCTTCCTAATAAGACGAAAGCCTTTATAAAACTGTGTCTTTCAAAAACGTGAATAAGAAAATTGCACAGCAAACTGGGACTAATAAAAGCTAACATTTGAAGCAAAGTCTTTAATCATAGTTGTGTAAGTTTACATGGAGTAGGTCACCTAAAAAGCATCGTTTTACATTTATATGTGATAAATATATACCTCTACCAATACACTAAACGAGTGCACAAATGGATGGCAAATCGCTTCATCAGCATTTATTACCTACGTGAGGGATGCAAAGAATAATAAGAAAGGCTGCAATTTGAGTCTCATGAGCTTCCTTATACGGGAAGAAGATTAATATAGATACAGCATGAAAACCTATAGCATATAAAGCTGTGTTACTCAACTTTCTGCTACTACAACAAGTAAAACGGCAAACCAAAGTATAAAGCAGAAATGTTTGTCTGGACTCATTGTATTAGAAGGTCTCATGCACAGCCAGCTGCCTGTAATTTTCCAGCTAGGAGAAAGACAACATCTAATGACAACTGAACCTGTTGGGGGAAACTGCTCACCTCAGTGTAGCTGGGAAGCAACGGAGAGATGGAGGGATTGGGGTACCTCTACTCCTCAAGGGTACTACTCTAATGTCCTAAATTTCTTACACTATATCCTATGTCATGAAGCTTGTACCACCTTCGAATAAAACCATACTGAGGACCCAGCCTTTAACATATGGGCTATGGGTGGATCATATCAGGTAAAACTATGTAAGTAATGAGGATCAACGCATCTTTTGAGAGGAATGATTTATACAAATTAAACACAAAAGGTAGTATTTGGCTACCTTTGAGTCTCTTATTTTTATACAAATCTTCCAAGTCTTTAATGCTTTTTTTTTGCAGCAGAAACAGTATAACTAAAACATCATTAAATAAAACATGGCAAGTCTCATCAGAGAAAGTCAGTGCGGTAGTAATGTCATCATAACATGGACAATGGCTGAAAAGAAGAAATTATTCTTAGAGAGAAGGACTGAAAGCAACAGTTTAGATTAGGTTAGGATGTCCTTCGTGGACCAGATACAAGGTGTCCATAGGGCACAGCCTAAGAAAAAGAGAATTCTATTATTAAGTCACTGAACTAGTATTTGCAAGAGAATGGCGATGGGAAAAAACACTTTATTTTTGTGGCATCGGGAAATTAGCATCAGAATTAGCCTGCATTAGATTAGGACTACTTTAACCTTATTTGATAAAACCCTGAAGACAGTTATTTCTGACTGTGCTCAGATTTAAAAATGTGTTCTGCTATCAGAACACTTAGGAATTAGCATAAATTTTCTGTTGTATAATACTAATTGCTATTGTAAAGCAAAATGATAATGGTGACTATGGCCAGCACTAACATCTATAAAAAACTATAACCTAGAGGATTTCATCTCTTCTTTTTCTCAGTAAACAGAAGTAGGGACAACTTCTGTCATTTATAGTGTTCATTTTAATGTTCAGATGGAAAACAGGGACATTCTCATGATAGCTTGCTCAATAGGCAAAATCAACAGATGTTCTTAAGATATTTATGGACACAATGCTTGTTGATTAAGCCAAGAAGAATTAGAATATTTTTCACTTAAAAAGGACATCTTTTCTTCAAGCTTCTGACTTCAACGTGGAGGATTTGATTTCTCGGAAAAGGCAATTTAGCTGTGTGATGTAGAAATGTATCAGAAGCCTACAGAAACCCTAAATTCCTTTCAAACAGCTGCTACACAATTTCGGCATGGTATTCTGTAAAACATTTTCTGGAAATTCTGTCCTTGCTCTTGGACCAAATGTGTCGATACAATCACCTGACAACGTCTTAGGTGCTGGGCGGTCGTGGAAGTCTTCAGCAAGGAGGTGACCACTACGTTGAGATTGGCTACAACATGTATGTTAATAGTGCATTCATGTGGCAATGTGGAGAAATTTCCAAGTGAGGAGACAGAACGTCCTGAGGGCTTTAAAGAAGTATGCTATTATGCAAAACAGTTTTTTATTATGTTTTATTTATTTTCTATTATGACCATAGACTTTCATGGCTCATCTTAAGGAGTTTAATTTTATGATCCATTAGGAAGTATATGAATTTAGCGGAAGTTGTCCATTTGAACAGTTTCTCCCCTGTGGTACCAAATGCAGTATAGTGCTCTCTGGGAATGAAAGGCAGTGGGCAAAGGTCACCACTTCCCCCTATATATTCCAATCATAAAAGAAAGTAAGTCATACTCACTGAACTTTGGCTTGGGAGCTATGAAGGCTTGTGGGTTAAGAGAATTAAATGCATTTTTCACCTATTTTCACTTAAGAGTGGGTTTATCACCAGGTACATCTCTGTACTGTGTTGAAATAAGAGCTGCGGGGCTGTGTCCCCAACACCCCGGCCGCTTGGCTAGCTCATGCCCGAAATAACAACACACAAACTGTATTCATTTAAGAACTGCTTGGCCCATGAACTCTAGCCCTTACAGGCTAATTCTCGCACCTGGACTAGCCCATTTCTAATGATGTGTGTAAGCACCCCAAGGTGCGCTTACC